CCACCTTCTCAGGATATGGTTGGAGCCCTAGGGACTGTGGCTGAGCACTACAACGGTGTGGCACCTTGCACATGTCCTTCTCGCTATCCAGCTGCTCCACGGCTGCTTGAAAGCGGGTGAACAGCTCCTGGAAGCGATCACATGTTCCTGGGCTAGGGGGAAGCGTTATAGGCCTTCCAATCATCTCAGGTCGTTGAGTTGAAGAGTCTGCGAACCTCTACGACCTGAATCCCTGAAATCATTGTCAACAAGGTATGTACACCACAGTATGTACACGAGTCAAGGTCATGTTTGACACGGGTCAAAACTTGCAAAGTGCTGAAGTCATCCGTGGAGATGTTGCAACACCTTCCATCGCGGCATGGGGCTTAGTAGCATTGAGCAAGAGCTTCGAACTCCAATCCCTACTAGGGCTCCAAGTACCTCCTCAAAAGGTATTTGGACCCTCCAAACCCACGCCTTCTCAGAGGGTACTTGGAGCCCCAGGGAATTTTCATTCAAAGCTGCCACATGCTTCACCCCATTAAATTTTGTTGCATGCATATGTTGGCCTTGACCGGCCTAGGGCATGCAAATCATATCCCCACAAAACCTCCGAAGCAATGAAAGCCGTTGAGCAATTAGACATGACTGGTTTCGGGACAGCACGAGCATTGAGAGACCAGGATGCGCATGTCTTCGCCATCGTCGTCACCCGTCATCACCGATCGCGCGTCACCGATCGCACCACCGGTGTCGCAGACCGTCCTGGTGAGTGCCCACATAGGCTGTGAGTTGCTCCTGACTCCACTGGATCCGAGGTCTGGTCTGAGAGACTGGCCACAAGAAGGTCTGGCCTGGTGGTAGGCTACAGTGGTAGGACTCGAGCTGCACCGATGGAGCTATGTTTCCTTCTGATACTAGTACTGATACTAGTACTGATACCTTAGCAGGTATAGTACTGATACCCTGGGAGTCCAAGACTATGTTTAAAACGGTCTTTAGGTGATCCGATAAGGAACTTCCTTTACTTGGGTGAGGCCTAAAATAGTCTTTGGACTTCTAGGGGATACTAGTACTGATAGATCACCCAGGAAAGCAAACCATCTTGATTTCAACCGGCAGCAGATCATAGACAAACACATGCCTATGTGCTCCCTATCACCCATCATCATCCACAGCCACAGCACCAGGAAATAGCTCAACGTGCGACTCGTTCTTCGTCTGTAAACCACTCGATCTGACTGAACCCAAAACAAAAAAGGAGGTGGAACAAACAAGTAAACACTCTGACTCTCCAAAAACAAAAAGGAGGTGGAAACACTCTGATCCCCCTTGGAAGCTCTTCCTGGACTGCCATTGATTGATGGTCAACCGTGTTTTTACCCTACATCGTGGCCCTCCAAGTTCTGAGAATTAGTAGGTTGGAGGCAGGCCCTCGTTGCTTGAATTGGGGCGGTCCCCTGCGTCTCAAGCGCCTGTCCCGACTGGCCGACCGCTGAGCGACCACTGAGCGCTCGCACACTGTTTTCATCGGACGCGGGACATTGCATGGAAGAGAATTAGTGCACACGGACTCTCTAGCACCTCAGGAAGACTGCTTAAAGAAGCAAACATTGCTATAGCAAGCCATACTGGCAACGAGCTGAACGAAAAGACTTCCAAGCCCAAAAGACCCTCGAGGCTCATCATGTGCTTTCTCTACTGACTGGAAATGGATGATCACAGTGAAGAAAATGACCGGAACAACAGCCGCCTCTATCTTCTTGTCGACGATCCGTGTGACAAGATCCTAACGCGCCACGATAGTCGCTATGATGTCAACCTTGTTGAGATTAGATGGGTTACAATTGCAGTTACACTCAACTACAATCACACCCGGACCTGGTTATGGTTACAGTTTGGCACAAGGCGTTAGCAGGGACACCGGCGTTACTGGCGTTGGCGTTACATGGGTGAAATCACCGCAGGTGGTTCGCAGGCGTGTCAAATCGGTGGAACTGCAAACAACGACGCTCCATGTACCTGGTGCTTCCAAGTGACCGAACTTGATCCCCTAGTTGCTTCGGTCCCCTGGTTGCGGCCTACCATAGGTCACTGGTCTCCAAACAGCGGTCACGGTTACGGAAGAAGCGGTGGATTAGTGAAGGACCACATGCCGACGACCCCTGAAGGCCACACGTCCTACACGTCCCACAACCTTCCACCTGGCAGAAGCGGTAGATCGGGCGGCTTGTTAAGAAGCGGTGAATCCGCGGACACTGAAACTGCCCAGGGGAAAAAAGAGATTGGCATATACAGGTTTCGTGGAGATTAGCCTGTGGAAGGGACCAACAATAATACAGTGTATATATATATATTACAGTATATAACTATATATATATATATACACATGAGAGATGAGAGAGAGAGAGAGAGAGCATGATCATGAAATCTACCATCGGGGGAAGTAGAACTGAAGTCAGATCAGTTGAGCGCCACAGGCGATGCTCCTCCTGTCTCAGTGCAGTCGCGTACGTCTTTGTCGTTGAAGGTCCAGAACGAGTGGAAAGATCTCAAGTCACCCTATGAGAAACCCTGCCTGCTAAACTGCTCAAAAGAAAGCGGCCCGGACATTGGACACCACAAACAAAAAATGTGGATACTCACATTATCTCACATTGCAAATTGAACTAGGAAGTACCTCTCTGTCCTTTGTGGTTTCGATTTTGGTCAAGATCTACTACTCACCGTCCGCTGATTGAAGTCTCGGTCAACCGACACGATCTGTTTCCAACTAACAGTGACACGGTGTGCCTCGCATGGCACCCACCCGAGGAAAGCCATCGGTCGGCATTCCCTGGTGCAAAGGAATCTGCATGACACCATACCTGTCCATGCCGTCCTCCATCTGAAAAGCTATGACGCCTTCCATAAATGCGCCATAAAAGCTGCCAGCACGGGCCAGAAGAAAGCTATACCGGCAAGATCCAAATACTGGGGGTGGAGGCCATCGCTACTAAGCTACTAGTAGTGACTCTCAGGAGTTTAGCTCACTTGCTGGCCATCCTGACCGGGCCATCCTTGATCACCTGTACAAAAGGATTTGGGTGCGGATCTTAATAGGGAACCCCCCCACCAGTGGGTTGTGGTCTATCTTCCTTCTGGAAGGGTCTAGACCGGGGGTCTCCCTATTCTAATGCACACCCATCTAACCTGGAAAGCGAGCTCAGCAGGGCCCACGTTCCGTTCTTCGCTGACGCTATGCTCAGCAGGGCAAGTTCGGAGAGCGTCACTCGACTTGAAAAGGACTGAGGATGGTCAGACGTCTCACAAGAGATTCAGCAACAAAACACATTCCAAAGGGTTGACCCGACCACAAGTAGTGTCTCTTTAATTCTCCACTACAGTAGTTGGTTTCTGCTTATCATATCATCTCTGATCAACTGTGCAATATGGCTTGTGATGTATAGTAGTTTATGCAGCTCGTTTCCCACGATGACATGTCTTTTGTGACCCAAAGAGAAAGTCTTTGTGATGACCTGACCTGCCATAAACTGGTCTTTGTCACCAAAAAGGAACAAGCTCATGATGAGGTGGCGTGCGTCCGTTACGACGAGACGAGATGAGCACGGAAGGGGGGCCAATCAACTTGGATTTAATTCTAATAGCTGTTTGTTACTACTAGTAAGGCACTTGTTACTACTAGCGAGGCACTTGTTACTACTAGCTATCTAGCTATTAGGTGGCATGATCTCATGGCCAAATGATCTCTCTTCGAGACATGTCGAGATGACGAACGATGACCGGAGAGATGAGGAAGGCGACTGAAGTGAAAACACTCGTCGTGTAACATGTATATCATAGACGATGCTGAGTTCCAGACTAGTTCTGCCAAGAGGAACTGACTCAAAAAAAAAACGGCACTGTCACCAGCAATTGATGTGTCCCATGTGTGCAGTTAGAAGTTAGAAGCGACATGAGCTTGAGTGAAGATTGTTCGTAATGGCTCAGAATAAAACACTTCAACCCCCTATGGATCCAATGCCACCCCTCTGAGGTACGGTGATGCGTTCGACGCTTCGACTGACAAACCTTTTTGGTGAAACGGTTCGGTAGCACTGGATACCCTGGGGAACCCAAATAATCTGTTGCGAAGGGGAAGCATCAGGTTCATTCGAAAACCCGCCCAGCTGTGTCCGCACCCTCAATTCACCTCACTTCCGTGTGTAGGACTCTGCGAGTTCATTCTTTTTTCATAGCACCATAATGAAAAGTAACACTTTCACAGACTCTGACACTCTTTTTTGTTGCACTGCTACTTGTTTTTCAGTGCTGGAAGGGTCCTTTCTGGCTTTTCTTTTCGGCTTCACAGGACAGACCATGCTTCACCAGCCTTCAAAGGGCCGTCCGAAGGTGGACCGTCCGCCGGACCTTCGCGCCTGACCTTTTCCCCGGAGTCCCAGCTCTCGCGTCGGGAGTCCAATCGCTCGGGTCGAGGGGGTCGAGGGTTTCATTAGCTGTAGGAGGTGGGTCGCCAGTAGGTGCGATGCCATCCCTATTAGGAGACCAATGGAGGTTGGAGGCTTTCAAATGCTTGAAAGCCGGAGATAACACACGGCTGGACTCCCTGGAAGACTAGTCTGCACTGGCTGCCACACAAAAGCCTCCGGTAGGTAGAGCCCATTCTGCACGGCATCTTGCTGCTGTGTGGAACCCTATTGCAGAATGCCGTTCCCGCAGTTCTTTCAGCATCACAGGTAGACTTCAGCACAGTGATGAGTGGTAAAGCGTATGTGCAAAACAAATGTGAGGTGAACCTGTGCGAATATATGAACTGTATAATTTTAGATAAATATCGTATAAGTGATATCATAATGATGTGTACACATGTATAATACAGTAAATGATGTGTACATGAAATTATATATATACAATAAACGATGCGTACATATATATATATATATATGTTCACATCAGATTCTGGAAAGCCAGATCCAAACAGAACCCATCAAATCTTTCAGGTTTAGGGACGGTGTCCTCCTAACACTCCCCGTCCACCTGCGATGTGTCAGACCTGTCCGCAGCAGCCATGGCTACCCTTGTCTACTTCTGTCCACTGCGCTCGTGCTCCCCCCCAAACACACTCACTAAGGACTCACGGATCCAAACTCACCTAGCTTTCATACTTTGGGAGGGGGGGGGGCCGGCGGGGTGGCAGAGGAAAGCCATGATTCCAAGATTGACTTCCCCATACTTCCCGCAGCTGCGGAAGGATGGATCTTGACAAGACCTGCAAAGAGAAAGAGAGATCGGAGAACGACGTGTTCGGTGGGCCGAGGTGGGCACCGAAGGACCAGGAGACGAGACCGCGGGTTTGATTCAAGTCTATGATTGTTACCTTCAAAGTCTAACATCATTTGACGTCACTCTTTCGCCAATTCGTGGCCACAAAAAGCAGCCGAAAAACGCAGGCGAAACGGTCCAGATCGCAGACGTCGAGTCGCGTGGTTCCAAGACTCAAGACCCATCATCCCTATGGACCCAGGGATCCACCTTCGAAGGTAAGACTGGACCCTGAAAGCCTGCATAAAGAGTTTCCAATGACCTTCCAAGAAGGTGGCAGTGGATCCATAGGGCATGTGACCACATGTGATGCTGTACGGGTCTTGGAAGGTGTCCTTGGGGTTGTCTCTTTGGAAGTGGACCTTGTTGCTGTACCGCTTGTACATGGTTGTACAGTGTTCACGCACTGTTGACCCCTCCAAACTGGTCTAGATGGTGACTCCAAAAGTGTGTTGTTTTCATGGCAATCAGCAATCTTCAATCATTATTGACACGGGCCCATGTTCACAAAAGCAACCCATGAAGCACCCAAAGATATGAACTCACACAAACAACTTTGATGTCTAGAGGTTTGCCTGTCCAAGGTGGAACATGTAATCAACTCCCAGCAGTCCCGGCTGGGTGCAGCACAGAAAGCTCGAGTTCAGTAGCTCAGTCTGAACACAGCCAATCCGAGAAGTGCCTGGCGAAAGCCTTCACTGTGAGATCCCGTGGCTGCCTCAGAATGATTGGACGGAGGACAACAAAAACCGGCTGAGTACCTTGGTGGAAGGAAAGCCGAGCACCTTTGTAGAAGGGAAGGTCTTTCAAAGTCCTCTGTCCTTTCTGAAAATCTATGACCTATGTTCCAGTTGCAAAGATTCGATATTCTTTGAGGGTGATTGAAATGGTTTGATGGGGTAGGAACTGGGTCCCCAAAGTATCAGAACAACTCTGCCAGCTGCTATGTCTCACGAAACCAAGCCAACCATTCAAATCAGTCCCCTGGTGCTCTCATGGTGAAATTTGAGGGGTATGCTTATCATAAGTCGGTCCTAAGCATGTGTTCTAAACCCATGGGGTGACCATCGAAACTCCCGAACGGTCACCATGGAAAGCCCGATGCGGGACCTGCATCCAACAAATACACGATAGTAGGACCACACGAAATCAAAGACCACGGAGAAAGTGCTTGCGGCTGCCTTGAAGGGATCTCCAATACCCGAAGATATGTCCTCTCTCTGTTCCAACTCTTGGATGGAACCGGGAAAACATATATAAACAATACCTGAGAAGGGGATTCATCCACAGGGAAAATCACATATCACCCTCAGCAAATTCCAGGAACTGGAACCAACATATACATGTGCTGTAGTGCTGCACATGATATTGCCATATTACTATATCCCTATATTTGCACTATATATGGGATTCATCCTTCAACCTCTCAACCTGCATGCGTATACCGCTCGAGAACATCCTCCGTGCATATACCGCACATACTAGACTATATACTAATATGGACATGAATCATGCTCGAAGATCGACCTACTGCATGAATCCGGTTTCGGTGTCCACTCCGCACATTCGGCCTCTTCGCACTCGGCCAAGAGCTTCGGGCCTTTCTCGGCGAAGTGGGCAGCCACCACCTCGTCGACCCGCAGGACGTCGACTCGGTCGAGCCGGAGCGGAGCCTTTTGCTTCGAGAAGCGGAATGGAGTCCGACTGGAAGTATGTCAAAAGGCAGCATTGCCAATCTAAAGATTTTTATGGATCCATGGTATCGTATAGATACATGTTTTTTTTTTTCTCTCTCTCTCTCTCTACAACACATAACAATGCATATTATATCATATACATATAGCTATTCATTCTTTAACAAGCTGCTATTTCTACCTGCGCGCGGTGCTGGCAAATAGTTTTCCATGTACGTGCAGGGATCCTCACGGTCAGGGTCGTTGTGCAACACCTCGTGGTTTGGTACCCTTAACTGTCCTCTCAGATTAGTATTGCCGTTTTCGCATGTTTTGGCCCATTTGATTGAAGCTGAAGGGTACCTGCACTTGTGAGGCCTGCCATGGGATCGTGAAAGTGTTCATGTGGAACTGGTAGAGTGTCTCATACCAGGAAGATCTGGTCGGTGGCACACTTGGACAGGGGTGACGTCGGTGAAACGATTCCAATCCCCAAGAATCCCAAAATATGAGACATGTGACATGTCTAATATATAAATAAATAGTGATATTCTTCCTCATTCTCACAACCAAGCACTTCATGACGAAGCCTCCTCCCGCCTCCTCCCAACGCGCGCATCAATTCGTGTATGTTCGTGGCCTCTTCAAATCCCTTGGGCGGTTGCTGCGCAGTGTTCAAAGCCGCGCGGAGAGAGAGCAAACGCGCATTTTCATTGTACCTGGTGGGTCTGACGGGTCGCAAGCAAGGCTCAAAGTGTTCTGGAAACACACGGTACGACATGCGCTCGGTATGAAGGCCCGGTGAGGGCCTTCTGCAGATTGAAGGGGAACTCACATGGATATGGACATGGATGAACATGACCATGCTTCAAACAGCGAATCACCTTCCTGTCATCGAAGTGTTGGCCGTTCGATCCAAGCGCAGAAACGCCTGCTGAGGGTATATCAATACGAAGGTGATTCGGAGGGTCCAGTCTTACCTTCTGAGGTGGTGGACCCGTGGATATCCGTGGATCCATAGGGATGCATGTTGAACCCGTTTTCGTTAAGGATCACATCCAACAGTAGATTGATGTGGAGACTCGGCCCATGCATCGGCCCACTGGTAGAAACAGAGTATTCACTATAGTCTCAGCGACCCTTGGAAATCACCAAACACATGCACATACAGCTGTCCGTTTGTATAGGTGAGCAAACAAATCAATCCGGTAATCCACATTTTGATGGCATCAATCTTAAAGAATCAATGATCACTGAAATTGAAGAATCAATGATCACTTCGCTCTGGTTGTGTCAAATCCATTGAACAATCCGCTCAAGAAATGTGCAAGAGCGTCGCGCCTCACACACGACTCACCGTAGGAAAGCTTTGTCCCTCACATGATGCCCATCGCCCATCGCCCAGGCCCAAAAGATATGGGTGGACTCAAACATTTTATGTAGCCTCGCTAAATGTAAACATCGCTGGAACAATCATGCACCCCGCTTTGTTCAGTCGACAGGTCGACGCTTGTTTCGACGGTTTAACAAATCAGTCAGTGGACAGAGAAAGTTTGACCTTCACAAGGACATGTGGATGGACATTCCCGAAGTATGCTGGCCTTTCAATAGCTCACCCCTACGTCGAACAAGCATCTACCACAGCAAGTCCCAATGATGGGATATCATGCGAGCACCTGTGGAATCTTGTGAACTTCGCATGATGTAGCATGACCCACTAGCGAGCCAAACCTGTACGCTCCCTTCGTGTCGATTCCACGACAGCGACGCGCACAGGGCTGCAGCCTGGTGTCCGTGGTCGGTCCGGGCATCCCCTGAAGCCGAGTGGAGACCGAGCAATCCCAAACAATCTATGTACCTTGGGTACCCATACCCAATAATGTAATGAGTAATAAGGTAATAAGGTATAGGTTCTGTACCTTATAGGTAATAATATGACCTATACTATACTGTACTTTGTGCTTTCAAGTGACCTTTTGATCCCCTGGCTGGTTCGGTATCATAGGTCACTGGTCGGGACTCCAAAGAGGTCACTTATTATAGCATCTTATAGCGATCTTTGCGCCAGCATGGATGGTGGGCCAGGAATGGCATCTCTGCACTCTGAAAACACATGACAAGTCGCTTCAGACTTGATCAGGTCCCCATATGGTCCCATGACAAGTCCCTGGTCTGCACATTGGAGAGTCTTTTAAATGGAGCCACTGGTGAAACAATGTTGGCACTCGGTCACCGATCGGATCGTGACATGGGTTGAACCCGTCCAGATGGAGCTCCGTCGTGTGGGTCAGGCGACAAAGGCCACGACTCAACGACTGGGATCGTTTTGGAGCCATCCCAGTCTCCAAGGATCCACTGGCTGACGCACCGCGTGACCACTAGTCTGACCAGTGCTTGGAGAAGTCATGGCCCAGTATGTCCGAATGGCCCGACCTTATGGAGCCATCAGCACGACATCTAAACCACACCGCTGACCATCGCGGCGTCTACCTGCTGGATGGTCCAGGTGACACGACAAAACCCTCCAACTAGCCCAAGCGGTCCCAGTTGAAAAAGCCATCCAGCCGAACATGCCGTTTTGGTTTCATCCGAAGCAAGCCCCGCCGGCACGTGAAGCAACACATTAAATGGAGTGAGAAACGGTCCAACAGCGACCAGATCAAATCATTAAGAACTTGCTTTTGATCTCAACTTGAACAAGCTCTTAGCTTTGGTTGTGTTGGTGTTCGGCTCATATACCGATTCCCGGCTCGCCGCTTTCGGGCTCCCGAGCCATGGCCCGGCTCGTTGAAATAGGGGTCCTGGCGACCCGGGCCCGAAGCGTCGGCAAGTCGGCAAGTCTGAGTAGATGGCAGTGGCACCCCGCGGAGGGTTCCTAAAAGCCAACGACATGTTGTGCCATTGCCATCTACTCTGAAACCACGGTAAATGAACAGGTGTTTGATGTGTTTGAGGTCTGTGGTTATGTAGGGTACGTGGGGGTGAGCAATGAAGGCACTCAGAGCGTGCGATAATGTGCGTCTCTGTATGTGTGTGCACGTGCAATCTACGTGGGCCGGTGTCTTGAAAGCCTAACTCAAACTAAAGGCTTGTGGATCTTGTGGCTGAGGTCAACAAATTGTCCAAGTGCAAATCCCTCCAAAAGCATATCAGTTTCGTGTTCAGGTTTTGGCGTAGCCAAGCACAGTACACAAGCCCAGTAGGTCCAGGCCGCTGGTTATTCGAGTCTTAGGGAAATACGAACCCTACTCGATGGGCTTGAGCTTCATGAGGTCGAGGACTTTGATGCTGACAGGATTGTTTTTGACTTGGTAAGACATCTATGAACATTGATTGAATGTCATTTCGGTTCATTGAGGATGTTCCGCCAAGTTGATTGGAATTTGTGCGTTCCTTCAGGATGTTCAAGGGTGGACAGTGGGAAGGTCACAAGTAGAGTGCATGGGGATGCATGGCCTCCCCGTGTGCTCCATCATCAAGGAGAACCGAGAGCATTTAATTAGTCGTGTTCCTCAGGATTAAAGCAGCTGTTTGTTGCCGAAACGTCCCATGAACAGTCCCATGAACAGTCCCATGAGTACCGTGAGACAGTCCCATGAAAGTCGGACCTTGTTCTTCACGGTCTCTACCCGTTTGTTCTGCACCGTGTGTCATTTAGGCGTGCAGTGTCATTTTCGGCACTGAGAAAAACCCGACCTTCGCTTTTGCAAAACGAGCATGGGAACATGCTTAAAGCTGTCAGTCAAGCTGTCACTCGAAAATGGACTGGGAAAAAGTGCATGGAACATGTCAATATCCGCATAGCTCGCGAAAGCGGCTTTGGTCGAGAACCGATCTGAACTTTGCTGGCAAAGGACGGACAACCACGATTGCAGAACAAAGGCGACATTATAAACTTGAAATGACTAAAGATCAACAACATGTGTGGTACATGAGTTACTCATGTCTTTGGGCTTCATGGACATGAATAAATACATATACATGTTACACATTATATATATATATTATATTCGATCTATTGAAGCATGTATAATGTACATTCATGTACTCCATATGACGCATCCAAACGACGTATGTTGGGAGTGGATTATCATGCGATTACGTAGATGGTGCGACTGCTAGACCTCGCAGGTGTCTGCATTCGACATCGTAGATCAGCTTTGCACCCACGTGATGCCATGTGACATCTGTGCTTGGCGTTTCAATGACTGAAACCTTTGAAGGAACGATGTTCTGGAGATTTTTGGAGCATCAGGACCAATGCAGTGGTGTTAGCTTCAGGTTTCCTGACTGTCACATGCACCAAGGATCAGTTCACCAAGCTTAGCACCTGAGTGATGTTACAGAGCTTTGCAACGTCACCAAAGGCCAATCTTGGCACAGTGGTCTAAAGCAGTGATGAGTCTTTGTACACCAGGTAGCCTTAGTTCATCACCACAATGAACTGCAATACACATCAACCCAAACACTCGAAGAAACTTATCATCTTCCACCCCTTGCCAATCGACCTTGCTCCCCCGCGCGAAAAAAGAAGAATTGACCTCTACCAGAACGAGGCCCTGCAAGGATACCAAGACCTGGCAATCGAAGGAAAGATCGGTTTCAGTGATATAGTTCAACAAGTTGTCTGCCATACTTTTTCACGCTCTCTTAAGAGATCCCAGGAGGCAGCAAATACGTAAACCCAGCCCATGCATGTATGGTGTCTGTTACCTGGTTACCCACATGGGGGTGGTTTGGGTGGTCAATGTAGGTATGATTATATAAACTTGATTTTATATATTCCATACATGGAGTGTCTAATTGTGTCTGGGATAGTTTATACATAATTTGACATAGATATGCAAGATTTTTGTGGATACCGCTACAAAGCACTGGACAGTGACACAAAACCAAACTCCAACTGTTCCCAGTGTCCTTTCCTACCAAACAACTGGGTTGAAGCATCCTAGAGGTCTACAAACACTTGGAGAAACGCTGCACGAGAAGAAAGGGATTTCGTGCGAGCATCAGGATTTGGTGCATGCGTTGAGTGCAAACACCTTCGATTTCGCTCTGAAGAAGATATGTCACATGACCCGGAAACTCTGTCCGAGTGCATGTGACAAGTCTTCGATGATATATCACATGTCCCTCTGAAGAAATGTCACATGCTTTCTCACAAGCTGCGACCAAGGGATCTCTTGAGTCATGCCGAGGAAGATCTCTTCCCCTTCTTAGCCCACCGAGAGGGTCGACCCAGATGAGCAACCACAGGGCTCAGAAAGAATGGCCCTTAGCACGAAAGATTCTGAAATGACTGGATCTATCTTGGGTGGACCAAAGAGATGCAGGGACAAACCCATTGACAATGAAATGACTCAACAACAGTTGATGACTGAACAGTTGCAAAAAACGATCAAACACTGGGAAATCGAACCGTGGTTTTGTTGACCAGATCGTTCTTGGCGTAACTTCTTTGACCTGCCGCAGCCTCCGGCCTGCAAGAGTGTGGACTTGCTTGGATCCCAACCAGGACCTGCCCATGTCCCCAGCAAGCTCAAACAGACCTGTGCCGCGCGTGAACACCGTCGACAGCTGTTGGATCCTGATTGATGTTTTTTCCATAAAGGAAGTTTCTTGACGTAAAGGAAATTGACAAATGTTGAACGAATCTCTATACATGGTAATATATATATATATAGATGTATTTTATATTGATGTCTGCACTGTAAACTGCCACCATCAAAGACTTTAGGACTTTAGGTTCGTGTCCAAATTTGTTATTTATTAAAACCTTTGAATACCACCCATCTAGTCCTTCCACACAACTCTACCGATGCCTTGCTGCCTCACACAAACACAAGAGAACCACTGCAAGTGTTGGATAACGCGGTTTTGAACAGAAGGAAAAACACAAAGGGCACCAATACTCATGTAGACGCTTGGTTAGATAACCCAACCATATGAACAGGTTGAATCCAAATGGTGATCAAATATATGAATCAAACGTCTACATCAACACGTAGCGGCTACCAATACCCCAAGTGATACTTCGAAAACCACGACCGAACCAAAACTCCTTTGCCGCCCCTATCGGGCACCGCTCGCTCGCGACCTTGCCGTCTCGGTAGAGGTTGGGATTCAACCGTTCGCTGCTATTGACCTTGTCGCAGCGACAGGGTCGCAGTGTCGCAGGTGACATGTTGTCTTTCACCAGCTGAGGTTGGGAAACGTTTTCTCAAAGGAGTTTTCGAGTGGACGCTCTCACTCAGTTGTCTTTTGTGATCGGTGCCCTAGGAGCCCTAGGAACTAGGTGTGCATTGGGTACTTCAAAAGTTGTTCAGCTACCTCCATGTTTCACCTGAGTTTCCAGCAAAGTGCGCAAGGTAGTGCACTAAAGGAGGCTCTGCCGGATACCTGTCCAGCTCGTCTGTATATGTGACCTCAGGGGACCTTCGGCCTCTGAAAGGTCTAAACCCAAACACTCTATGAAACTGGCATACCCGTGACCCCTGAAACAACCACCCCAATGTAGGCAAATGTGCTATGCATCGATCGTCTGGGGGTGATGTCTGCATCCGAATATCCATCCACCATCTGGCCCTGCTGTGCCTTCGCTTTGGCTGGATCTGGTAGCCCAAGACGCAACCCTCAAATAGAAGTACTTGGTAGACTCAGAAAAGCATAGAACATCTTAAAAAAAGGATCTATAACAATATAATATACAATAATCATACCTTCTCGTCCTTTTTGCTATGACCAAGTCTAGAAAGTGTACTTATCTATATGTGACAACTGATATGTCTCCACCTAGGGACTTGCTTGTCACATCAACCTTTCCTGGGAAAGTGTCTTCCTGAGCTTGCTTGGGGGCCTTCGCGTATTGCGCTCACATGGCCCTGAGCCAGTGGCAGCACAACATATGGATACATATGGGGTGTAAAATGCTTGAACGAAGGTGTCTGTCTGTGTCTGTGTCTGTCTGTGTCTGTGTCTGTCTCTCTCTCTCTCTCTCTGTGTCTCTCTCTCTCTCTCTGCGTCTGTCTCTCTCTCTCTCTCTGTGTCTGTCTCTCTCTCTCTCTCTCTGTCTGTCTGTCTGTCTGTCTGTCTGTCGGTCGGTCGGTCTGTCTGTCTGTCTGTGTGTGTGTATGTGTATATGTATATGTATATGTATATGTATATCTGTGTGTGTATGTGTGTATATATGCATGTGTATGTATGTATGTATGTATGTATGTATGTATGTATGTACATGTGTGTATGGATGTATGAATGTGTGTGTTTACATGCACACACATGTGTAGATTCAACAATATATTTTTATGTTTATGCGTGTGTATGTGTCTAAGTATGCATGTGCCAACAGCGTTCACTTCATAGTGCACCAATCTGTTGCCTTGTGCTAAAGGTTGCAATGAATGGGAAGCATCAATGTGACTGTCGCATTTATTGGGAGCCTGTAAGTTCCTCTACAAAGCATTGGCGCGCGATCGCTTTATGTTTCTATTGCTTCATAAATCAACGTGATTCGTGGACAAGACTCGTTGTCCGCTGGGTAGCAGTACATCCTGACCAATGTCTCCAAAACTTCTCCGACCAAACTGTGTCTGACAAACACATAGCTCAACAACAGATCCATAGAATTCGACCTGTCAAAGTTTTTCACATGCCACCAATAAGGGAAGGTCCATCTTTTCTGAGATGCTTCCATTCAGTACATCGCTCAATCCAGGCAAGGTCGGAACATGTCATTAATTCGTTGAGGATCCTTGAGAAATCAGTGAGACCTGAGAGCCCTACAAAAACATCACTGAGTAACACTGTGTTACTCATGGTAATAGTAATAAATCTATCGGGGGGAGGGGCTGCTGGAGTGGGGGGACCAGTGATACTTCCATGAATATAGCAATGTCCCCAAGTATATCAGTGATATTCCATATAGCAATGTATACTCATAATATAGCAGTGGGGGACCAGTGATCCTACCAGTGATACTTCCATGATGTCTGTCTACATCTCAAGATTGATTCTGAGATCTCCCAATGTTGCGAGGCGTCCGTTCGGGTTCCACAGTGCTGAAGGTAGCTTCTACAGAACAATCTGCAGGTGCTTCTACATGATCAAAACGAATCAAAACTATATAATATAGCGTACATTCCGTAGTTGTGAGCAACTTCTTGTTGACCCCCAAAACTTTCGGAGGCGGAGTTGACTCTGCACTTCTGACCCCGCGGCGCACTGTGGAGACATAGCCAGGTCGAAAAAGAAGGGCACGTCAGCATATGGCGTCGAAGGAGGTCCGACAACCTCACCAAAGAAGATTGGCACACAAATGTCAAAGCTACAAGACCAAACAAGAAAAAGCAAGAACAACACATGTAGATGGCTGGTCCATAACTTTCTCTACCTGGACGGAAAAGATCACATATAAATTAAAATTAAGGTCTCAGGTCTTTTGAATAAACAAAAGACTGGTAAGCAGAGTCACCAGACAGATGCAGGCTCTGAAACTCCCCCCAAACAATACATATAATTACATATATATATATACAGTATATATTATATATATATATATCAGAAATTCAGCGGCTTCGCATTAAGCCATGCCCTCCCCCAAGACGTCCCCAGTTCGGTTCTACGCCTCTGGCGTTTGGCAGCTTTGAAAAGCATCATCTTTCCAACTGTCAGAGATTTGGTAAGGTCAAAACATGTCAAAACCAACAGACCTGTGGAATTCGTGGTGTCAGCCAGCTAAACCACACCACACCACAGCCTTACGTCCATCAATTCTGCAGCCGTTCCTTCCACCTCCTCCCATTCTGCGGCTCGGCACCATTGCACGGAAGAGGTCGCTTCGGGAGGCATAGGTTCGCACCATGATGGGTGCCACGACTCCTGCGTTCGCATGGCTGGAGACGCTGGTTGACCGCATGGCATCTTTAGGCTGGAGACGTGAATCACGACCCGGCTATTGGCCATGCACGAGCGCTTTAAAACAACTTCTGTGCGGTATGCGTGGCATTTCGGCTACCGCAGGGGAGAGTGTGTTGCTGCGTTGATCAGTGGAGCAGGGCTAATGACGTTCGTTGTGGATGGTACCGCAACAACAACACGCTGCGTGGAGCGTTGTGCAACGACATTGCTGCTTGGATCATGCTGTGATGCAATGATCTTGCTGCGCAATGTATATGGATGCCTGATATTATACTATGGTCATTTAACGTCTCTCTAGCATAGATATGTGGTCAAATTTGTTATCGCCACATATTGTATGGGGATGCTACGGCAACGACAACACGCTGCCTGCACCTGCGTTTTAATGACAACATATCCATTTCAAGGCTTCAAGAAATGTGATAGTTGCACAGGCCACTAACCATGTCTCCACCTTGTTTAGACTATACAGTCTATACGTGGGAACAACCCCCCACCGCGGGTCACCTGGCATTGATGCAAGTGTGCTTTCTGGAGCAACTAAACTAGACGATATGCGGAAAGAAAAGGAAACTAACCTCTAGGAAACTCACCAAACCAACCTCCACGTATGCATATGATGAGCTCCCAAGCCACATACGGACGTCGGAAACCAAAGGAAAAACACTGACCTCCACGTGGAGGTCCAGACTTGCAGGTCGTGAAAGATTCAAAAAAACAAGGCTGAAAAGACCCCAACATGGAACCTGAAAACCACAGGTTTGTAGAGCGAACATGGTCTTGGTCTTTCAAAGGTCCATGCCATCAGGTTCCATGTGGGTCTCTTCCCGGGTGTAGATCCAGCTTCAGATTGAGCTCAACCCTCACCTTCACCTCCATCCAGTAGGCCCGTGCGAAGGGCAGAGAGCTCCCGCCTGTCATCCGGAAAACTGGCACGGCGCTTGCCCAAGGCGAACTTCGTAGGTTGCAGAAGTGCTGAAGCTCAATTCAAACATGAACAATGGAACTGACAACAAAATGGTTATGGATGCTATGGGCCATGGGTCCAAACCGGAGGACCCTTGGTTGACTTTTGGACTCACAGCCATATACAGTAATATATGCCTACATGAACTCCCCAAACAGCAAATATGGCAGTCCCAAACAGGTCGTGTCTTGGAATCCTTTTCTGGTTGACTCATGACTTCCCACACGCGAAGTAACCATGCAAAACGCGGTCCACCAAGTTGCTTTGTGCGCGCGAGTCGGGGTCTCGCGTCTTCCTCATGCTCTCCATTGTGGGCTTGGCGGACTGATCTGGGACCTACAAGTAACCACCCAGACGCGAAGTCTGGACCCAAACTTTTGGGCTGTGAACGAAAACGGAGCGTCTGGGCAGCTGAACAACTCCTCCGGACATCCTGCAAAACGAGAAAAACTCCGCGGAAGATCTTCACACCGTTCGAACCTAGTCCTGTGACTTCCGCTTGCATGAGCGACTACGCGATTTCTCATGGCTTCCTATGGCTCCAGAACACGACTCGACTGCTCAGAGAGAAGGAGTCGGTTCATAAAGCAAACCTAATAGCGATGGCCTCCAACCTAACAGGAATGGCCTCCAACCTAATAGTTAGTTTAACGCGTGTTGTTGACCGACGTGTGCAAATGCTAATAACATTGACGTTGAACTCGATCTATATAATGTTGTTACTCGCGGGGGGGCACAATTGGTCAAAGGAGTTCAACATATGTATATATATATAGTTGACATAGCGTTGGTTCTTGCCAACAGATTCCTTTCAAGATACACACGCTCTATATCAAGGTGGTCATGCCTGCAGCTTAAGGAGTTTCCCACGGTCAACATGCTGTTTTACATGCCTGCACAGACCAAAACTTGTTGGGTAGGAAACCTTGGAGGAAAAATACTGCATCCAGTCATCATAAAGCGTTTGAACCAAAACGTCTAAAACCATCTAAAACCAGCATCTACCAGCCAGTTCTTCAGCGCTGCTTCTCCGCCCGGAACCCCGTTGTGCTGCTCTGCTCTGCCGGCTTCGCTGGGCGAAGGCACCTGACTGCTCTCATCAGTGCCTGTGAGGCGAGGATGATCCAAGTTGATCGCATTCAGGAACTTTGTTAGTTGTGATCCATCAACTGGATTCAACTGCAGGTTGAAAGACTAATCATATTAGCAGATCTGCGGCTAGCAGTTTCGTCTGAATCGGCTATCTGCTTTGATATGTGTTGAGAGAAGCTGCAAGGCCGAGGCTGGCTATGGTCTGCTGGCACCCCTGACCATGCACATCCTCTGTGTCTGATCTTTGTTGCACGGAGGCTGTTGCTCCTGTCCATGAGCACCCCCCAAGAAAAAGGAAAAACAACATGCAAGAAGAAAACCCACCTGGAACCTGGAAACATGTGTCATAATATTCAAGACCTTCAAACAGGCATCATCTAGCCTCCATCTCTCACAATGTCTCTCAGCTTCATGGTTCAAGCATGCTTCAAGCGTGTCTCCACGGCCCCAGGGATTGCTCATCTTCCGTTTCCAGACCATCCATGGGACGAAAGGGACTGGAATGTTGGAATAGTTACAACCCCTCATGACATCTTAATATTAGCATACTATAGCATACATAGCTATAAATAGGTCTATACATGCAGTGTCTGGGCTCTCGGCCGAGTTTCGTCTCATTTCGTCTCAACCCTCACGGAAGCACCGACGGAACCACCGTCCACCGTGTCAGGTCGGGTGGTGGTCGTGTCGAAGTCTGTTACTACTAGTAAGGCACTTGTTACTAGTAGCGTTGCACTTGTTACTACTAGCTTCTTGTTACTACTAGCGTGGCACTTGTTCCTAAAAGCGTTGCACTACTTCCTTCCCAGTCTTTCCGCCTTGGGAGGGGGTGGAGTGCGGTCCACGAAGTGGTGATCACTTGGCTCCAAGTCCTCGGCGAAGCTGGATGAAGCGAAGGCGTGCGAGCTGCGGTTTTCACTCAAGAAGGTGATATGTATAGGGGTGATGTGTATAGGCCAATTGAAGGGAAGAGGGTGGATTGAAAAAGGATGACGTACTTGAGACTTGAAGATGAGACTTGGTGTCAAAACGGATGGGAGATTACAGATCCTATTTCAGCTTTCGGGGGGTTGGAACATCCGGCCGAGTCGGGACTCTACATGGACACCATTTCGGCAAGCCCAACACCTTCAACTTCACCTTCCCCCTCTCTGTGGCACCGCCCGCGCAGGAGCGCGCGGTGGGGCTCAACGTCGTCGAAGTCGTCGCCTCGTCGAAGGTGTCGAAGGCCAAGATCTCCGGCCGTGCTGTGGACGATGAGGAGCCTCGCCGGTGCGAACGGCCTGGTTCGCGTCGTCCAGATAAGCCACCGGACACGGTCGGCCCGTTGGCTGTTGGCTTTGGACGACTCTGGAGCTTGGACGAGCTGATGCTCAGGTTCGGTGATCATCGGCAGCTTCTTAGGCATATGTTGGGAGACTCCGAGACAAATTTCAAGGTCCAACTTGGAGTGGATTGATATACCATGGTTGATTGATATAGCCAAGTCGACTTCATGAATGAACGATATCCATCTCATCGAAGCCAGGCAGCCTGGGGGGACGCGTGAGGTTTTTATTGTGATGGGATATGCTGATATGATGCTGATATGCTTATAATATGCTTGGCAATATGCTGCTTGGCTATTTGTTGCGTGTGATCATGACTTCTAATTGTGATGTCAGCAAGAAGAAACATATCGGAATGACTGACATGGCAGCCATAAGAAAGGATCATGGGTCATCCATCTGTCCAAACACAATGTGACACATGGATCTCGGCCTCCACTCGACATGGAAGGCTCCGATTCATCGGCCTACGGGAAAATGGGCTCTGGCCGGCGATCTGCCTGGGTCTTTGGAAGGGATGAGCAACATGCCTGCACTCCTGACTTTATCCCTACAAGTCAATGACCTCATTTTACTGGAGTTGGTCATACAAAAACACTACTCAAGGAGGTAAAAGACCAGGTTTTGCTAGGTCTTTGGACTTGTAGGGTATATAAATTAATGTTGAATGGTTTTGACATGAAGAGGACGTGAAACAAGCGAATCAAATTTTGAGGCACCCCAGCCACACAATTACGGCAAAGCTGACTGGGTCAAAAACTGCATTGCATCAACATTCTATACCTCACGGCCACTCTGTACAAGATTGGTCATTGCTGGTTTGGCAGTTGTTAGTACCATGGAGGCATGATTTGAGCTGACAGGATGGCAATGCATGCAAGGTCTGTGGCATGGTCTACCTTTCATGAAGACAACTTCCAAGAACCCTCTCGTAATGCTTTGATTTGGAAACTGGAACGCCCTACAGGCTAACGCCCCACATTCTATGTTATTTGTCGCTCTTCTGATTAACGATGTTCTTTGCCAGCACCCTGGTTTCAGCCTCAGCCGGCCTTGAGTGCATGATCACTTGAGACCCATTCGCTGAATCGCCCTGAAAGATAAAGACCTTGAGCAGAACGGTCCACGCCTGCAGTAGGTCAAACCTTCACTTTTGGGCCCTTCTGAACGTGTCGTCCCCTTCTCCCAACCCGTCGCAACCCGCGCGGGGCGACGCGCGGCCTCCTCCGCCTCCGAGTTTTCTTCCCCTGGGCGACCGAGAGAGCGGCTTTCTCCAAAGCAACGAAGATAGAGCACGGGAAAACGAAAAAACGGAGTCAAAGACTGAGACTGGAAGCGAAGAGAGGGTATCTCCCTGACAGTTAGTGAAGGTCCTTGGGCTGAAGGTCCTTGGGCTCTAAAAAAGTCCTCGGCAAGCCCGAACGTCGTCAACTGGATGTCAACTGCTTCTCTACAATGTAACATATAGGTTCTCTAAAAAAATTTTTGCAAACAACGTAATTGCATGTTTGCCCAGAATTGCCATGGCCACCCTGGCTCCAGATCGCTTCTTTGCAGATTGGGAATCATTGTGGTTGCGAATGGATCGGGCTGTCAAGAAATCAATCAAAAACGCATTCTGCCGTGTAGATCACATGCGTGTTGCAAGTTTCAAGGAATTCTAGTGCACCTTGCTGGGTGACTTGGCAGTGATGCTAAGTGACTTGATGCACCTCAGGGACTCAGGGTGCTTCAATATCTGACTTGTTGTTGCCTCAGGTCCCTATGGGATGAAAAGGGATGAATGATGAAGAAATTGAAAAAGGCATATCGAAATCGCAGAAGACTCAAAACCCATAAAACCGGGTGCGATTGCTGTACCTAAAATATCCTTAAAATGGCAAGCGAGATCGCTCCATCCTGACTAAGCTCGGTTGTTTGTTACTCATCATTGGCTCTGGAGATGTTCATGAACCATCAGGTGCCCGACTTTTGCAGAGTTCTTCTAAAACAAGAGTCGTTGGGACCCACAATAATCCAAGGTGGCCATAGGTAGAACGCTAGAATTACAGCCTCGATCATGTTTCCCAAAGTGCATATGGATTCCACCGTGCATCATGTACTGTATTTTAGGCATTTGCTGAAACAGTCGAATGAAGCCAAAAGAAAAATAGACGCAGGTTCTGCAGTGCCAAGGGTTTGGGAAGTGTTTGATGTTGCTAATGATGGGTGTATACTTAGATGGCAAGTGTCGAATAGCCTGGGTGACATGGGTAACATGGGTGTTTTCCATACGCCCCAAGAGTAGCTCCACCCGTGGGATCGGTGGAAGTAGAAATAGCCAGGGACTTACAATTTGTGTTCGATCCGGCTAATAAGCGTTTGTTTTTGTTTGTTGATTGTTGGATCCACTGCTGAAATTGGACTGTTGGACCAATGCATTGAGGATACAAGTATTGTTTCCATCAATGTTTTAGCGATGAGGATTCAAATCCGATGGTTGAAGGGCACCTCAATTTGGAGCAGCATAATACTGTTTGTTACAATGCAAGTTTGTATTTGCTTGTTCGCTGCTATTCAGATTGGGCTCTTTTCTGGTGTTCCCTATGTGAAGCACAGGCATAGCTGGATCATGAAATGAGCCCACTTGCATACGGGAAGAATGAAACATTAGGTGAGAACGCAGCGCAAGCACAGGCATAAGACATCAGCTTTTCCCTAAAATGTCCAGGAAACGACGATGTTTGAACACCGCCCAGGTAAAGGAAATTCCTATAGACCTAAGCTACGAGTAAGGGGCGAAACTGGCATCGCGATATCCGAACCGGTTCGCGATCGGAGTGTACGCCCGGAGATGTTGTGACCTCGATGTTCGTTTCATGGGGTTCTCCAAACAAACGCTGAAAGCCAAGCAATGGTTGTTTAAAGCAGAGAGGAAACGGGGCCAGTGGGCCATCACATGGGGGAGAGGAAACCGGACCATCCACAACTGTCTACAAAAGTGGTGGTTCGTTGTAGAAATCGTCACGTTGAAGATGTTGTCTTGACATCGAGGGACTTACATTAGTGTCATCATTGGGGCTAATAATGGTCATCATTAATTAGGGACTTACATTACAATTATATATATTGTAACTATTCTGACTGACTATTTCCTTAAATGGCTGTTCTAGGATATGAGATATAGACGGATATGGACATGCATAGATCGGATCGAGATGCAAAGCAATCCGGAAAAGCGCGCGTTTGTATTTAATTCTATATTTCTGGACCCTCCAAAGTACCCTCCAAAATGGGACGTGACCCTTCAATAACTGGTCTACTGTCGGAGGTACTTTGAGACTCCTGGTATTTCGATGCATTCCTTCTTGAAAGGACATGGGATTCTACGGGATTTTACGGTACATCTCCCCCCAACTCCGTCGTTCGCGTCGGACCTCACGGTCCTGACCTCCCCTTCCCCCCGCGTCTGATAAACCGTCCACAGACGTGGTGACGTGGGGATGAAGAAGAGATGAAACGTCTGATTTGAGGCAAGAGAAAAGAGATGAGGCAGTAAGATCTTGTAGTTTTGAAAACAATCATCAGATGAAAAATCAAACACTATACTATTCTGACTCCCTGTTTTGAGCAGGATTTCGGAGTGTCGAGTGGCAACAACTACAGGCTTCTGTCAAATAAGGGTCAGCACCCAACCGTCCCCCCGCATCAACTAGGCCGGGATTATTGATATTTATTACTATTTAATTAGATTTAATTAGGATCTGGCGGGATTTGGTTTGGCCTGTCCGTAGGGAACTTCGAATCTGATCTTTTGCTGAAACGTACGTAGATCGTGAAAGCTAATGTTGTAACATCTCCATCAACCCATCGCAAAAAACTGCAAGAACAAGCGCCTTTCCTTTGCAGGAATTGAGCATCTCTCAAATTCTATTGGGGCAAACTATGAGCCCTGGGCGTAAGTGTACGATGCTCAGTACAAAGCTCAATACTCTGTTCCACTAGCAAGCCACTGCACGTCCCCGCAGTAGCTGCCGAAACACGGTCGACACGTCGTTCAACCCCTGAGGTTAGAGCCGGCAAGCTCATCTTTCGGAGCCTCGAGTTCGTTGAAATGCCCGAGCCGCGAGTGAGTCTTCGGTTGGATTCCTTAGAGAAGAGGTGTGAACACCTCGTTGACCTGTATGATTGAACATGGATCAAATGCAAACACTTGGTGCATCATGTCTATAGGGAGAGACTGGTGAACCAGGAGACGCGGATCAAACTTCTTAGGGATGCCTACAGACTAGCGAGAAATTAACCTCAAAACTTAGATAAACTTAGTGAAGATACGCCAACCTGCACCACATCCAACCGATCCTGCCAATAACTCGTCTTACTTCGACGGGTTCCTGCAAAAACAAAAACCTTATATCACCTTGTACATCCGTATACTGGACATCGCCAAATCATGTACTCTAACGATCGTCCATCTGAAGCCATCCTTTGAAAACTGCACGATTCCGACTGTTCTAGGTCTGGAAGACAGCCGCTGACGAAAGTCTGCCGGTCTGCCGTTCCATCCGGTGCGGGCCGCTGCGTGCCATATCAAACTGACGCCCCGCCCCAGTTCTCGTGTGCCTCTGTTGCAGTGTCATCCTCGTTCTCATCTTCATGTCCCTGCATGGAGCGACCACATCGGCTGTCTGTCAGGAACTGCTGTCAGGAACAACATGTCACAGTCCCAAAAGGCCAGTCCCAGCATCGCAGTTATGGACACCAGGCCAAGGGAAGCACATGCTGTTTGATGATGCTATATCTACAGAAGACCCAAAAGGGAGATGATCTCCCTCCAATTCTGATGTCTTTAAAAACAAAACTCTTTTTCCAAAGACCCATCCTGTTGGGACACAAACCCAAAAACCTCAGCTTCTTGGAGGAACCGGCTCCGCGGCTCAAGCTCCGGGTCCCGTCCGGACCGAGGATGGTCGATGGTGGCTGTCCAGGTTCCAAGGGTCCGGAGCCCTGGGGCAGGACCCAACCCGTGCGCTGGGTTTGGAGCCTCACAGCCATGGGGGTTTTGGACCGAAGCGACATCCTGTAGCAGTTGGTTCGGGTCCAGGGTCGCCTCTGGGCAGGGTGATTGGATTCTGGTTTTTGTTGTCGGGTCAAGGTAGAAAGACATATTCCATCCATGGGTCTGGAAGCCTGGGATTGCAACCGCTGGAAGGCAACACCTCGGGATGATGCTTGGGGGGTTTACCGTCCTTGGTGTGAAGAGGACAGCTCATCAGGGAACAAACTGCTTCAGAACCTCATCTCCTAACCTTTAGCAAATGCATCCCTTTATGAAACTGGCAAAGCACTGCCCTCCATCCGGGAAACCAATGGCATCGCACCGGACAAGGATATTTCTCGACCTGAGAGTGGTGTATGTGGACCACAGTCATTCTACAAACAAAAATGCAAAGGCGGTCACCAGAACAGAATTTTCGACATACACTAAGAATAATGGGGCCCTCCATGGCAGGGGTCCGGGCCCTCAAAACCCATGATTTTTGAGGGCCTGGATTCTTAGTGTGGAGCTAATCTTCTGGTTTTCTGGAGTCATCCAAACACAGGGACACAGGACCACATACCACATGTGCAAACCCGGCAGTGCCAAAGCAAGACATATGAATCATATATAATACGAACTCATCCTCGCATCTGCATCAGAATGTCGGGAACATTTTGTGTGAAAAACATCGAGAGGTTTATCTCACGAACAAGTCCAAGTTTTGATCCAGATTCCCCATCACCGACACCCGCTGCCTCTTGACCAGCAGCCTGAGACGCACAAAACCAATGTTTCAGCATATCCTACATGGGTTCTCTGCATAGACAGCTGTTTCTGCTTATGTTACGGGACCTGTATGTGCAGATCCTTCCGCAACTTGCGACCGGAAAGCAGCGCTATATTTTTGTTATAATCTTGCGGGTCTTAACCAAACTCTATGACATTCGTGACATAACTGCATGGACTTCTTTCAAAAGCAGAACTGGACCCCAATCCTCCAGTCAGCGGAATCTCTGGACGTTGGAATCGGGAATCGATGTTTCGGAGACGTTCGAGAACGATGTTTCGGATCACTTGCCGGGGCATGAGAGACATCGTGAGACATGATATTGGATGTATAACTATATAGTTTATGTTATATAGGGCGACTGAACCTTCCAGGTGGGTGGTTGCCTGAGAGGTGAACTTTTACTCCAATTCTTGGAACCAAAACGGTTTCGCGGCGTTCATTCACAGAAGCTTGGCAACCAGTGTTATTTCCGACATAACCCACCGCCGCTATGTATACCCTCATCTTCAACTACTACAAATAACATAATCCGCCGTTTACTAAGTTTAACCAGGGTCATTAAGCAGCATACTCGAGGTCATCGATTGCATTACGTAGCTACTCGTTTTTGAAAGCAGTTGATTGAAATCCTAGAATAAACCGCGTATCTTCTTAGATTCTAGTTATATAAACAGGAACTATTCTGTTATAGATAATATGCCTGATACGGTATTCAATAAATATCTACTATCTATCTATCTATCTATCGATTTTCTATCTACTATCTATCTACCTACCTACCTACCTACCTACCTATCTATCTATCTATCTATATATCTATCTATCTATCCATCTATCTATCTATCTATATATTATATATAATACATGATATAGATATAGGTACGTCCGAAGTTCTACCGTCACTGGTGTTTCCTCGATTTTCCTGGAGATCCTGGCAAGGGCGCCTCATACACCAAACGCGGAAGTCCTTGAAACGTAGCTGTGACAAGCAAGTCACACGGGGACAGCATGCCACGACTAAGTCACGGCAAATTCCTCGCATTACTTGCTTCCGCATGGGACACCACGTTTCACCGAACGGTGAAAGGGGATCAAGCAAAATTGCTAAATGCATCAAAGCATGTATTATTCCCAGTCAAGTAATTCATTTTTTTTTGTGATCAACAACAACATAAAACAACTTAATGCAGCTGCAGGGTGGCTCACAAAAGGTATGCTGCATTGGACTGACACTTCGCCCCCCGCATGTCCTTGGAGTGGCACTTGCCCTTCTAAATGATCCTCGAAAGGCTCACAAACGGTATGCTACTGTAGCCAGCAAACATTATGTGAGTCACGTATGCTACTGCTTGCTCTATAAATTTTAGCCTCCCGTGACTCACATGATGTCTGCTGCAGTGCAATGTCCCTGTCCCGCTTTCTACTTTACCATCCGGTGGCTCACAAAAGGTTTGCCACATTGAAGCGGGGCCTTCCTGCTCGAAATTTTCGGGCGGACGTGGCTCGCAGCTTCGAAATGTGATCATGGCAGCCACGTCGTTGGGAATGCGTGCCGGTTCCTATGCCTTTGTTGCGGGCGCCACCTGCAAGTCAAAGTGGGGCATGTAAGCGTGGCCCTACAATGCACAATCAGGTGAAGGTGGGCCATGCACTGGCTGCAATGCCCCTAGATTCCAACACACGGGTGGCTCACATCAAAAAAACATACAAAAAAACACACAGAAGGTACGCTGCACTTTGACTGGCAAAAGTTACCTACGCGTTGCTCAGAAAAGGTTTGCTACGTGAGAATCGGCTCGCTCACAAAAGGCATAACTGTATTGGAACGGTGGTTCTTGGGTGGCTCACAAGCTAGCTGCCCTACATATTTTACCCTGGGGCGGCCCACAAAAAGGTACGCTACATTGGAGTGCTGCTCAGGTTCTTTTGACACGTGTTTTAACACAAGGACATTTGCAATCCAAAGTCACAAGGTTACAAATAGCGCCAACATGCGCCAACGACGAAGCAGGCTTCCTTCCTTCATTCTGTTCTTCACATTTCTTGCCTGTCTCCCCCCATTGCGCCTTGCCTGCTTTGCCTTCCTTGCCTGCCTTCTTCTCTCCTCCCTCCGCCTCCTTCCCTCCCTGCCTACCTCCCTCCTTCCTTCGTTCCTTCCACCTTCCGTCCTTCCTTCCCTCCCTCCCTCCCCGCTTTCCTTCCTGCCTTCCCTCCTGCCTTCCTGCCTCCCTCTGATATTGATTTGTTTTTGATACCCATGCCACACCAAACAGGCCTTCCGAGCATGTCTTCAACACAACACCCAGGTTGTAATGGGACACTGACATACTCATAGGGTGTGTATAACAATGACAGGCAGCAAATGAGTAGGCTTCCTGGCGCAAACGTAGTAAAAGCATTTGCTTTCACTCTAAGACTCTAACTCCCCGAAACTTGTATAATATAGGAATAAATGCACGAGACAAAATGAAGCCCTTGTCCCCGCTCCGTCCCGACATAGGTCGGGAAACGCAACTCGAAGTTTTCAGGACTAATTGGGATACAATGGAACCGGGTTCCAAACACCAAGGAACTACACATAAACAGTATGCCGGCTTCTCAAACACCCTAATCACAATGGGTGAAGCCAAAAGCATGAAATCGCAACGACTTTAGCAATTGGGAGTAGAATCAACAAATTTCACGGCTTTAAACACACCTGGAGAGGGTCTGCCATTTAAAGGATGAATATGGATGCACAGTAAAGGTGCCCTTCCCTTCCCATCTTCATGTTTCTTCGTCCCTTTGCTCTATCAGACACAGTCCCTGCAGACTCTTCCAATTCCTTGATGGTCCACCAACTTTTAAACTGGATCAGTGCTCGTGCCTGGTACTCTTCCTCAGAGTCCATGTCTGCCACACGCCTAAGTACGCTTCGTATCACTTATGGATAAACTTTGGTCCTCATCTGTTGACAGGAACGTCAGATTCGTCCAAATTCTGCAAACTCCGATACTCAATTTCTGGGGTCATATAGGCATTGTAGATAGATGAAACAAGTACGAATCATTGAGTCGTTGATGACACAACTGAATCGAAGAGCCCTACATCATCCAGCAAAGCCCACAAAGCCCAATGGTCGATAGTCGCGAACAAGAGGTTGTAGGTTTACCATTCCAAGTCATTTCACTAAAGCAAAACCATTTCAGGCAGCCATGGGCTGAAAGAAACTAAGACCAAGGGCTTGGTCAAACGGTGTTTCGTACCAAGCAATTCCAGCGGCAGGTGGGGCACCGCCTATAGTTCCCTACCGGCAGCACATGGCTTCTGCGGTACGAACGCCTACGCTTGCTACGCTCACGCAAGTAGATTGAAGGTTGCTCATCCAGCCCAGCTGCCGTTGGAGATGTCTCGGGGGGTTCCCTGGTAGCTTTCACCGGAAACATGATGGCATCCCCAAAGAATGAAGCAGTCCAGAAGTGCATTGTGGTCACTGTGCAGCTCAGAACACAGCTCAGAACATAGCAAGGTTCAACTGCCTTGTGGTGTGCGAGAGCGAACCACCAGCTTAGAGGAAGCACCAACCGACCTATCCATTGGCGATGTTGTGTAGCTGTTTGTCAGTGTTCTCTTTCTCCCTCTTCTCAACTGAGCTCTGGCGTTTACTCTTGGTGTGGCCACCGAAACGACCGCCTCCCGCCCGAAACGGGAGTCACGACTCGACCGCCGCCCAGATATCGATCTCGATCGATCTCTTTGGTGTTCCGCCGCGCGTCAAATGCCCTGGCTTGAAGCTCTGAATCCCACCTGAGAGAAGCGTACGACGCCCACGGCACAGGAACGGCGGTCGAAGGACCTCGAACGACCCGTCTGGGAAGCGTCGACCATCCCCCTCTCTTCTTACTCCAACTAAGGATATGTTTGAAAGTGAAGTAGAGTGGGACCAGCAGTTGGGTTGTAACATTCTTGCGGGTTGCCGTGCCCAATGAGCACATGAAGGCAGTAAACAAAGGCAATCAGCAAAACGTCTAAACAACAACACACTCATAACGAAAAGAGAAACAAAGTATATACGGTGATAGTACTGTGGCTTTGCGCAGCATCCATGTTCTTTGCTCACAGGTATTTGGGATCTCCAGAATAGATCTTTGTTGGGATTCTGGCAACACATCCGCAAGCAATTGAAGGATAAGTGAGAAGGGGGTCACCAAGTAAATCAAAGAGTTGACTGGAAGTGTGATTTACAGGACTAGCAATGCCTAGCATACTGGGCTTTTCTGTGCTTCCTGTTTTGAACATAGTTCATCACAGAATGTACTGTACTGTGGCTGGTGTCCGACTCAGTAGGGCCATTGCTCAATGTAGCACTCTTAGATGGAAAGGGACTAGCAAAAGAACTGCAACCTTCAATCCTCTCCAAGTCATTTAAGTTGATTAACTCAGCTAAATGGGGTCTGATGCAGTTTCCAGTGCAGTTTCTCATGCGAAATGGGCTAAACATCCACCGAACATCGGCCTCCTTACACCGAGAAGCCGTGGGGCAGGAGCACCCTCACGACGAAGTGTTCCGGATTCACAGCGAAAAGTAGTCCAACCCACCATCCGCACTCCTGATCAATGCACTCAAACCTAATAGCAATGGCCTCCAACATAGAAGCGATGGCCTCCAACCTACTAGCGATAGCCTCTAACCTACATGCGATGGCCTCCAACCTAGAAGCACTCAAAATCTAGGTGCTAAAATGGTCAGAGTTGTTGAATGAAAGCTGGACTGCAAGGGTTAGAGTCAAAGTCCAACTTTGATTGTACTTTGAAGCGAGGGTTCGTTTCGATGATTCTGAGAAATCAACAAGTCCACTGAACACTAAAGTCGACAAAGAAACACAGGAGCTGTGAAGGTGCTCCATCTGAGAAAGCAAGGAACTAATCGTAGATTTCAGCACCACCATTTGATTGGCCAACGCACCCCGGCATGACGTCGCTCAGCACGTGCTCCGCTCGCTCGCCATCGTGCTCCGCGCGCGGTTCTCCGCGCGCGGGCCGCGGCTCCAGTGCGCCCTCTGGGGAGATCATGACCACGTCTCCCAGTCGTAGGTCACACCACGGATGCGGTACCAGCTCGAACACCGTCACCTCGGTCTCGCCCCGACGCCGCGCTCCGGGAGGCCGAAGAGCGGACCGGGGGGGCCCAAGCTGCTTGGATGACGTGGGGCGAGTCTGAGCTGTGGAGCGACGCATGGTGTCAGGAATGGATCAGGGAGCTTGAAGCAGCATTCCAGGACGTGCATGGCCCACCAAACCTGAAGATGTGCCCAGCTCAGTTGAAAGGACGTGTATTTTCCTCATGCACACATAGGATGAAGGAACCTCCACTTTTTAATCAAGGCCAGCTCGAGCCTCCAACAATAAACTATACGTTAAAATAACCTGAATTTCCACATTGGCATCCCTCTAATTCGTTTTCTTGGCAGAAACCTACCCCCGGCCCTATCAATCAAGCCCAGCTGTCCCGCCCAACTGCCCCAGAAAAAATGAACTGTTATTATGTGTTATAGTTACTTAGCAATAGTATATTGTTGAAAGCTGCAATCTAAACTGCCATCAAGCAACCTTTGCTCCACAATCCCTAAAAACTCACTCCATCTAATATATATATATATATAGCAACATCGTGTCATTTTCCCTCATCAAAACTCGATCTATCTATCCAACTCTTAATTTCAAGCTCACAAAGGGTACCCCTCACACAGGCCTCACGTTCACACAGAATCCCATCAACCACTGGGGATGTGGTCTCCAATACCTCCAACCACAAACTTGGTTGATCTGATTGACCTTGGAGGGGGGGGATTATATATACCAGCAGTTCTATGTCGCAAGGCTTCCTTTCGTCCACAGCCCTCGGGGCCGTGGAGATGTTTTGCTTGGCGCTTTGTTTCGTCCTTTGTCATCCATCCGTAGACCCTCCTTTCGTTGCCCTTTCAACCTCATGGAACACCAAGTTCAACCTTCCGATTCCGGAAAAAAGAAAGAACAAACCTCAAAGATGAGCGTTCAAGACCGGTTCAAAGGAGGTTTGTTCAAGTATACCCCCCTCACATGTCCAGCTGCACAATTCCCATGAGAACCTGCCAAATTCCCTTCAAATCCTGCAAAAAACTACATTTTTCCCAGGACCACCCCTTCAAGTGAAAGCATGCCCACTGCAGTTTTTTTCTCAAGATGGTCAGGTGATCTGGTCATCAGATCCCAAGCTGCAGCCACACCACCTCCAGGGGTGAATGACAAAAAAAAAGCAACAGGTGGGCATGTTTCTTGAAGCCTTAAAAGCCACACTGTATATAAAACAAAATTGCTTCAAGAAAAATGCCCAAGAAACTCTTGCTTGCAGGCTTCACTTCTTGACCTTTTTGATTGAAACATTAGTGAGGGCAAGCTCTGGCATGCATTTACCAAAGCATCAGTCTTAAAAAAACAAAGTGGCTTTGGAAAGCCACAGTTGGCACAAACAATATGCTGGCAGCACATGACAAAGAACAGGGGTGTTTGAAAAGCATGGCATTATGCCCAAGAAGCACCAAGGTGCCCCAACAACAAAGCATGGCATCAAAGGTGTTTGGACAAGAAGCACCAAGGTGCCCCAGCAACAAAGCATGGCATCACCAGAGGTGCTTGGACAAGAAGCACCAAGGTGCCCCAGCAACAAAGCATGGCATCACCAAATGTGCTTGGACAAGAAGCAGCAAGGTGCCCCAGCAACAAAGCATGGCATCACCCAGGGTGCTAGATTGGAAGGAAGCACAAGATGGCTCAGCAATAGAACAGGCATGGCATTCCAAACCTCAACTAGCTCAGACCCACACAGCACTCTTGTTTTGCTGTCTGTGCACTTCAAAGGTAAGCTCTTCAAATGGCTTTCAAACAATTTGCCTCAGCACATCACTTGGCCATGAAGGACTACACCTCCAATCAAGTGTGCTGCTGTGCCAACTTCAAACACTGAGCCTCTTACTTAGTAGGATAATACCTCTTCACCTCAGGTAGTGTCTTGATGATACCTGTTAGGGCTTCGATGATGTCTGGGGGTATGTGCCCAGGTGTCTGCTCCACTTCACCAGCTTGCAATGGAAAGTCTGCTCTGATGATGCCCCACTTCTCCCAGCAATGTCTGTGAACAAGCCTGAGAGCATCTTCCCAAGATCTCTTTTGTGCAAAAGAAGCAGTCATGGTCTTCTTGGCATATGCCAGGCCTTCCAATGCAGCACTGTCAACAGGGTACCTTGAGGTGAACCTGTGGTCCATGTAGCTCAGCCCCATTACACACCCTGGTGGGCTTAGCTTGCTGAGAACCTCCTCTGGAGATTTGTACACTTTTGGGGCAGAAGCCCTGGGTGCCCCAGGTGTGCGAGGAGCTGGTGTTCCAGGAGCTGGTGTTGCAGGAGCTGGTGTGGCCTCAGAGGGTGCTTTGGGGGCTGGTTCAGGGGATGGAGCTGGTGTAGGGGGTGCAGGTGTGCTTTGTCCTTCAGACCAAGGTCGCCTGATGCCTGATCCAGAGGATGGGCCAGCTTCAGGTGCCTCCTCTGCCTGTGCAGCCTTTGCTTCTGCTGTCTCAGGAGACTTCTGTGCAGCCTCCCTCTCTGCTTTGAATCTTTTGGCTGCCTGCAGCAGAAAGTGGCCTGGTGCATGCCTTTTCTTTCCTCCTCCCCTGCCTCTCCCTGCCTCTTCCCCCTGCCCTTGTCCTCTTCCCCTGCCTTGTCCTCTTCCCCTGCCCCTCCCTGGGCCTCTTCCCCTTCCTCTTCCTCTTCCTCTTTTCTCCTTGCCCTGCACTGGCATATCACCTCCCATTTTCCTTTTGACCCTTTGTTGCTTTCTTTTTGTCTTCAGATCTTTGAGATCTTGCTTGTTTCCATCTTCTTGGTCTAGCTCTGACAAGATCTCTGACAGCTCAGAGTCAATGTCATCCTGATCGATGCCAGCCTTTGCAAATTGTTCGACTTTGGCCCTCACTTCTGGCAGCGCCTCATCAGAGAATATAGTCTGAAACAGTGTCTCCTCCACATGCTGCCTGCTGGGCATCCCTGGCAAATGTGGCCCTCCCAAAAGCAAAATCAATCTCCTGATCTGTGCCACTGTCAAAGGGAGGCCAAAAAAGCAAATTGCATGTTGCAGTGGCATTGCTTCATCTGTTTTCTTGAAGACAATTGGGCCTTTTCCTTCTGTCAGCAGCATCATCTCAGTGGGGATGTAGGCCCAATCTTCCAAGTCAAGGATGTGTTCCCACACCAAGTTCATCCTGTTGGGCTCCATGCGAAAGGTAACCTGGCCATCTGGCAGGACATGGGCAGCCAGCCTCCATGCCAGTAGGCCAAACTCAGCTGCAGCAATCACTCTCACTATGGACCCAGTGGACTTTTGTGCAACACATGTGCCTGGTGTGGCCAGGGCACACAACCATGAACTGTTGCAGTCCACATGAACTCCTGGTAAGGCATCCTGTTGTGACCAATAATCAAAGAGCCATTTGGTGGCAGCTGCACTCTGGAAAAGGCTAGCTGGACTGGGAGAGGGCCACATTTTGGAAGCTGGCACAGGCTGCATGATGTCTTGAATTTGTTTTGGTAACTTGTGTGTCGATGCCTTGAGCCTTCCTACCACACTGGACATTCTGGTCCTGTTGGTCTCTGCTGTAATTTTTTCAGCATTTGAGATAGTGACAGTGGCCAACTTTCTTTTCTCCAGGACCTGGCTGCTGAGCACTTTGCTCATGATGGCTGTGTTGGCAAAGGTGTTGTCTTTCTTGGCCCTTAGAATGTCCTTTGCAGTCTGGTGGGCCATCTCCACCAATCTGCTATCGCCAAGGGTCTTGCAAATCAAGAGCTGGAGCCTCTTGGCCTGGCTGTCACCACCCAGCCTCCCAAAAGCAAGGTCTTCCTCATAGGCCAGCAGCAGAGTTCTGACAAAGGGCGAGAATCTCCAATGCATTTTGGAAAGGGGCTCTATCACTGCACCATGGGCAGCTGCTGACTCAATTTCCTGGAGCATCTCCCACTCCTTTCTGGCCTTCTGGAAGGCTGCCCTGGCCACCTGCATGTCCTGAGACACTGAGTGATGGTAGGTGTGAGGAGGAATGCAGTGAAATGCAACTAGAGATGTGGCCCTGGCTTCAAGCACTTTGCCAAACAGATCTTCATGGAAGGCAATAGCTTCCTCATGGCACCTCCATTGTGGCAACAGGTGCTTCAAGCCCTTTTCATCCCAAAGGGATGCCTCCACAATTTCCTCCAGCTCTGCAGCCCAGAATGAAGAGGCTGCACAGGACACATTGTATTGGCATACTTGCAAGGTTGATGTGAGAGACCTTGCCCTGGAAGCATGGCTCTTCCATGTGGCCTTGCCGATTGCCATAATGCAATCCTTGACACACAGGCTCTTCTCAGTGATCAGCTTTGGGGCCAGTGTCCAGGAACCCTGCTTCTTCTTCAGCTCCTGCAGTTCCTTGGCAGGGTCCTTTTCTTCTTCTGGCAGTACAAAATCTTCAGCCTCCTCTTTTTCTGGGTTGTCTGCTAAGTTTTCCTGGAAAATCATCTTGTTGACCCAGAATTGGCCAGCGAGGAAAGCCATACTCTCGAAGAAGCTAAACCATCTCATGAGCTTCACCAGTGGGCCTTTCTTGGTGAAGCTTGGGAGGTTCTTCATGGACTGGAATAGGGCCTCTGCATCCTCCCTGGATTCAGGCTCCAGCTGCCTCATCTCCTGGCAGATGAGATGCTGGTATTTCTTCCAGGAAGTGGACATGATGCTTCTAGTGGCAAAAAATTCCTCCATCTTTGCCAGCTTCTTGTAGTGCCACTGAGAGCTGCCAAATGGCCCATAGCTGACATTGGCCACTATTGTCAGCTGCAATACGACCCTCCAGGCTTTGCAGGTACTGGAAGTCTTTTTGAAGGCTGTCTTCAGGTCATTCCAGGCCCTATGGAAGGGGTCGTATTGTGCATGCAGCATGAGGGCTGCTGGGCTGTACTGTGCAAAGTTGAGGGCTGCTGTGTTGATTGGCCCTTGGTCACTGATACTGCACAGAACTGGCACCTTGCCAAGCTGCAGGTTGGCAGGCTTTTCTGGTGCTGCTGTTTGTGTGTGGAGGTCATATATGAACCATTCACCAGATTCACTCTTAACTCTACATTCATGAGCTTGGAGTGGTCTGACTATCAGTCCTGTGGGCACCTGGAAGTTCATCAAAGTCAAACCAGCTCCTCTCAATGCAGCTGAAAGTGCCCTCAGCTCATTGTATCCTGTGATTCTGTCCAGCTTTGACTGCCTTGCCATAGGTAGAAGGCTTTCATGTAGCTCTGAAAGCATCACTTGGCCCATTTGCTGGTTAAGCAGCCATGCAGCCTTGTCCAGGTTTGTGCTGTAAATTGCTGCCACCATCACTTCTTTGCCACCATAAGAGGATGGGTCCCAAGCCACACACACTTGCCTCTCTCCTGCAAAGGTGCTGGCCAAAGCCTCTCCATGGAGGAAGCAATCTAAAAAGGCCTCATATTGCAAAAGTCTGGAGTTGCCCAGGTTGACATCTTGGTGTGTTGCTGCAATCTTTCTTCTGTGCAGTTTCTCTTTCCTGAGTCTCTGCATCAAAATCATCCTGTTCACAGGGTCTGCAACTCTCCTGCATTGCCCAGTCTTTGTCTTTAGCATTGGAAGCACTGATAGCTCCTTCTTGGACAGTTCTACTGCCAAGCTTGAGAGCCAGGCACCAGCTTTGTTGATCAAAGATGGCAAAGTCTGCAAAGCCAAAGACCTGAACAAGTTTTGCCCTCTTGCAGTGGCCTTTGGGTGGCAATACAGCCACATCAGGAAGAAGCAAATGTCCTTGAAGGTTGCAGCTTCTATTGTGGAGGTCAAGCAGTACCCCATCCACAAGCTTTTGCTGAGCCTTCCCCACTCTTCCCTGGCCCCTTGGCTGTGGGCTAGTAAGTTAGCCCAGCCATCTCTGCACACACCTGTGCTTTCAAAGTGAAGCTCACTTTGTTGTAAGGCTCCTGAAGGGTCAATCATCATTGCCAATATTGGCCCAGTGGCAATGCCCAGGCACAGCTGAAGGACACCCAAAAGCATTTCCAAGCACTTAGTCTTTGCTGTTGCCTTCAGGCTTCTGTTTTTGAGCAGCCACAGGCCAAGGGCAAAGAACCCTCTTGATTCCACTGTATGCTGCTTCCATGGTGTTTTTTGGTCAGGCACAAACTTGTCACCCCTGTAGTGGAATTCTTCCCTGGGCACCAGCAACTTGTCCATGTCTTGGTAAATGGACTCTGTGTTGGTGGCAAGCATTTTGCCAGGTGAAGTTTGGATCTTGCAGGTGTCATGGATCCTTGACCACAGCCATTCAACAGTGTCATGGTCAGTAAAGTAAGCTCTGAGATGGTAGTCTTCCAGAGTTGCCACAGAGTATGGAAGTTTGAAATCCTTCCAGGGGTCTTCCTTCACCTTGACCTCTTCCAGATCTCCAACCAAAGCACCTTCCATGTCCATTGGCTTTGCTACCAGTACCAAGCTCTGCTACCAAGCTCTGCTACCATGATATTATAATATATTATAATATTGTAGTAAAGTGGTGAGCTGCTCAGCTACCATGTTTAGGTTTCAGTTATACTATCTAGACCCTATTATATTTATTAATCCAGCCATTCATCACATCATCATATATCATTCAATCTCAAAAGATTGAGTCTTGAGCCACTTGTGAGTGAGCAGCAATGACACTCTGTCAAGTCAAACTTTCAAAACTTGCTGAGCCTCTGCATGCCTGCCCCCAGGCCTCTATCAGCCCACATAATACTCCAAAGGCCTTGGGTGCCAGTGTCAAAACAATCTCATTATTGACTCCTGTCACAAAACAACTGTTGCATACCTGACTCAACAGTTTTGTTTAAACTGCTTCAATGTAATGAGGTTGACCTGGCTGGCATAGCTTTGCAGCCTAGACACTGCACATTCAAAATTCTGTGGCCACTCAAAAGCTCTGCCAGCCAACTTGTCATAGTCATAGGTGATCAATGTAGCAGCCTGAGTGATATTCATTCCAAAACAGTGTGTTCCTGTCAACTGACTGATAACTGCTGCACTGCACTGCACACTTTCATTCAGAAATTCATTGTCAACTCATTATGTGAGCAAGCTGATCCAGCCCAGGAGCCCATTTCAATGGCTCCAATCACCCACAAGGCCCTGCTTCACACACTTGCAGGCCTTGAAAGCTGTCCCCTTGAATTTGCCCATAGCTCTCTTGCATGTCCTCCAATGGTGTATATTCCAAAAAAACAGAAGCCAAACAACAAACACACAGTCAGTCTGTGTAACTTCATTCATGTCATTTGTTGCTTGCTTTCCCACTGACTGCAGGCTAGGCACCCCCCACACCTGTAGCAAACCATGCAGTTGTGGCAAATGTGCCTTGAGTAGGGGACCCTTGGTACTGCCATGCTCACCTTCACATGAGAGCAGCCTTTTGGCATCAAAGCCAAGAATGGAAGGCAATAACAGGGATACTCCTTGGGGGCAGTGGATGGCACATTGACTGAATGCACCCATGCACTGTAGAGCAACTTGAGCAAGGAGAACTCCTGGCTCATCAATGGCACCATAGTGCCAACCTCAAAGGCAGGTGGTCCACCACAGGCCAGCTCTTCACTGTTGGTGATGCAAATCTGAAGTGCTGCCTTGATTGAAGAGACATTGTCCTTCCCACCCTTGAGCACCTTTTGCAACATGGCTTGCTCTTTCTCAGCATTGAACTTAGACTTCAAATGCAGAACTTCAATGGTTGTCAGGGACAGAGTCCTTGTCCTCATGACCTTCTCTGCTGAGAAGAGCTTGTCCATTTGATGCTGTACCTTGATTCCAGAGGATGCCATGTGAATAGTCAGTGGCTACCACAACACAACAAGTCTGTTAGTTTGTTACTGTTGAAACCACTTAAGTGTGTGTCTGGATGCTTGTCTCTCTTCTGCAGTCCACTTAGGTCTATTGTCCATCTCTGAATCATTGGAGTCCTTCTCCCATGAAGTGTCAGACTCAGGCTCTCCCACCAGTTGCTCAGCATCAGGCCCAATGCCTGAGTATATACCAGGAAGGCCTTGCTTGTCATTGGACTTCTGGAAGTCATGCTCCAGCTTGGCTCTCTTCTTTGGAGGTGGATAGGGAGGAGGATGGGGGTCTTCATCCTGGCTCTGTCTGCACTACACATGGTCCACTGCACCTCTTCATGTCACACTTTCCTTTGTGAACCCACTTTGAATGCTATGTTTGGCCCACTCCTCATTCCCAGCATGGCTCTTGTTGTCCAAGGCCAGAACCTGGGCCATGGCAACCATTGATTCTTCAATATGCCAAGTGTTGTTAGTTCTGTGTACACTGGCTCAAAGTGTTGCTGACTGCCAAGCCCCTTTTGCAGCCAAGCTTCAGGTGCACCAGGGGCTGTTGGAGCATTTGTGGCTGCCTTAGGTTGGTTGTGGTGGCACCCCAGTTATAAATAGGCATTTTACCTCCTGATGGCACACACCCCCACACCCTGGATTTGCATCCAAAAAGCTTCAAGAGGTGCTGTGGTATCATGATGCATCTCCTCATTGCCATCACAAGAGGCCTCCTCAGATGGTGACAAGTTCCATCCTTACTTACTACAGGTTGCAATGTGTCACATGGTGTCTCTACCCTTTCCAATGTGCTGCATGAGTATGCCCATCTGACTTTGCATGCTGCATCCCAAGAAGCCAGCATCATTGGATTGGCTGGTGGTGACACTCCAGAAGCCTTGGCAGCACTACATTACAACTACCCACAACCCCAAGGGGTGTTCCACTATGCACCCAAGGCACTCCTGCTGCTGCTGGGTTGTGGTAGTCATGATTATTCTGCTGGCCCCACACCTTACAATCTAATTGCATACTGGTTCATCAGACTTTATATCACCATGAGCACTGCACAGGTGCATTCAGCTACCTTGCCAGAACTAATCAGCTGAGCTTCCCATCCATAGTTGTTGGTGGAGCCCCATGGCTGGTGCCATGAATGCCAGTCTTGCCAGCCACCACCACCATAGCCATGGTGATAGTGCCAATCATTATAACCATAGCTCATTGTCACCTGGGCACAAGGTCAGTTCTATAATATAATAGTTACACTTGTTGGTAGTTTCCTTGCCTCCTTCCATAGTTTCCATGTTCCTACACTTTTCCTTCTTGATTCATTCCCTTTTTGCACTTCAGTTTTCACACTTTTTGTGTCTCCACCCTTGCTTTGGTCACCATATATTTCTTTCATAGGTTGTGGTGTTACCTGTGTCCTAACTTTTCCTACCTTTTCCTACCTTTTCCTAACCTTTCCTAACTTTTCCTGCAAAAAGCTGCAGTTTTCCCACTTTTGGGGATTGCCAAAAAAATAAAATACTAATATTGTTAGAATTGCTGTTAGTAAAGGAAATGCTGCCCATTTTTTAATTTTAACTTTTTTGGTAGTGTGTTGCCCTTGTTTTCAACCTTTTCCATTCTTCATATTGTTGTTGCCATGGTTTTATCATTTTGCCACCTACACTTTTTGTTGCCAGGAATGAGCTTTTGAGCATTGCTCATAGTCAGAGCATTCTTAATATCAGTATATATCTAAGATCTAAGTCTATGGTCACCTATGGCTTGGCCTACTGACTGGCACACACCCCTTGTTATAGCTACTATGCTATGCCACCTTTGTGCTTCACTTGTGTGCCTACACATGTTACTATACTTGTCAGGTGTTCTTTACTAAATGGTTTGCAATATTACTCTTAGTTGAAGCAGCTTTACATTGCACAATGTTGTCAGAAAGGTGTTATGTTTCACCATTGCCCCTCAGCCAATGCTTATGGTTGTGGTTGTGCTCAAGCCCCTTTACTTTTCACAGTGCAGCAGGCCTCACATACACCAAGCTCCAAGGGGCCTTTGCCACTCCCCACACTGAAGCAAAAGGCACAAGGCAGAAGTTTCCTTGGTAGTCACACAGTGCCTTCTTGCTAGTTAATGATTGGGGCATTGAATCACCACAGCAACAAACTCTTCCTTTGATCATTGTCTCCACATGAATATCACACATGAATCATTGGCATTGATCAGTGGCATATCACACATGAATAGGACTAGTTAAAAGCCACAGCAAGTTGTTATTGAAGCTGAGCCCAAGCTACCCCTCTGTAGGCTCAATGCCCAAGCCCTTGCCCTGCCCACCTCCACACACCCTGTGTGAAGCTGAGCCATAAAGTTGAAGCCAGCACAGTGCCCACACACCAAACAGTCTACCTTTGCCCAAGCAGCAGGTGCCATCCCTAGTGGCAAGGGTTGCCAATCACTAAACCACAACAAATCCATCAACAACAGACCCTGTTCAACAGTTGAAGCCATGTCCACAGCCTCATGTAACTCACATGATAACTCATGCATGGTCCAGTGGTGGGGGTGAACACATGCACTAGGTTACTAGTTACATCATTGGCATTGGGATGCCAAGCCATGCATATTTCTGCCTCCTGGCTTGGCTCTGATTTTGATGGGCTTGTCAGCCCACTGCCTACTGCCCACCACCCACCAGCCCTGCCAATAGTGGCAACAGTCATGACACCAACTGTACTTTTCATGCACATATGCAATGTACCCAGCAAGCAACATAACTATACTATCTATAGTAATGTACTAACAATTTAGTACCATGTTGACTGGTGGCAGCATGTTGGCGACTATATTTCACCCAGGTAACCACTTCCTAATAGTAATCAGCAATGCCATGCTGACTGTCAGGGGTGGGCCCAGCAGGCACAGTACACACACACATGTACCAAATAGATGCTTTATGGGTTGAATGGTTCACCTCACTGTCAGCCATTCTAGGCCCACCCTCTCCTGCACTCAAAATGTTGTGGGGGGCACCATATTATATTGATTCACACAGTTTGTAACAAGACAATGCTTTTTCTCAGCTGCCCCCCACTGCTCCCACCAGCGACATTGATGCAATGGCCATGGTCACTTCTCCTTAGGCTTGCCCTTGGCCTGAGTCATCACATGGCCCACACCCCACTTGCCCACACTCATGTGTGTTGTCAAACTTTACTTTTGCATTGTGAGCCCTGACACCTGATTGAAAATTGCTGACTGAACTTCTGATGACCCTGACTTGAGCCCCAACCTTGGCCACTGCCTTTTGTGCTTTGAGTTTTGCTTTAGCTGCAGCCTCCCTGAATACATCACCTGCATGCAATGCAATGCATACACACACCCTTGACCCTTAACAACAATGACAGCCTCTGATGATTGATTGCTGTGGATTACATCCTCCTTTTTAATGGAACACATACTTACTAACCTTCTCATTCTGGCACCCTCCACCCAAAGCACAACAGGCCTATCACTGCCTGTGAGGCTCTTCCTGCAGGCTGCTTCCCATTTTCATGGCTTACACCACCTTCAGAACATATCAATACTTGACAGTCACTGCACAACCACCAT